TCCTACCTCTGTTGAACTGCTTCTTTCTCCTTATCCCCTAGGTTCCTCATATACCCTTCCCTCCCCCCTCCCTTAATCTAACCCAATTTTTATCCACTTTTTTAAGGGATGTGGCCCTTGGGAGTTGCCCATGCATGGTCTGTTGGGTGGCCTACATTCGTGCACATACTACAAGCATTAACTGGATCCCATACATTAAAAAAAGAAGACATGAAGTTGAGAGAGAGGTTATGGGGATAAGAAGTGGGAGGGGGAGTAAGGGAGGGCAGATACAATAAAAATACATTGTATATGTGTATAAAATTTACAAAGACTAATTAGAAAATCTATTATAAATGGTGAAGTGGCTTGAACTGTGAAATTCACATTTTAAAAAATTTCTTTCAGGTTTTTCTTGTTAGAAAGAAGACTGGTCCTGATGCTGGGCAGCTCTATGCAATGAAGGTGTTAAAGAAAGCTTCATTAAAAGGTATTAAGTTAAAAAGCTTATTAAAATGGATTTTAACAAAATTAGTTTAAGAAATATATTATGTACTGTTTGTATAATGTGAGTAGGTTCTTTTTAACGTTAATTTAACATTAACAGTATTTTAGTCTACGAGTTATACTTCTGTTGACTTATATCTTAATTTCTTAAATGTATACCTGAGTAAAAGTTTAATGCTAGGAAATATGACATGTAAACTATAAGTCATTCAATTCCATGTGTACTTACATATTTTATTAAGTTTTGTTCTTTTCTTTTAATATTTTTACCTTTTCCGGATTTGTGTGTTGCACATTTAGAAAACACAACCACTGCATCATAGACTTATAAAAATACTACTAAGCCTGGCATGATGGTACATGCCTGTAATCCCAGCTCTGGGAAGGCAGAGGCACGAGGATCAGGAGTTCTAGATTATCCTCTGCTTCAAGATCAGCCTGGGCCATGTGAAACTCTGTCTCAAAGAACAGATCTCCCCATATGAAACAAAAACATACTACTGAGTTCAGTTTTTATTAATAAACTCACTTGAAAACATAAATATTAATACATAATACATTCATATTAGCTAGATATGCCACTGTAGCCCTTCTCTAGATATAAAACGAGTCTTTTGGCTTCTGAAAATATTTAGTGTTATCTTAGGGATATACAGACTAAATTTGGGAACTTAGGAAATTGTACTTTATGTATTGTATATTTATATTTTATTGGTAAATTATTGTTCAGGTCTGTAATGAAATTATAAACAAATATATCATTTTCTACTCCTGTGTGATTTTTTTTTGTTGTTTGTTTGTTTTAGTTCGAGACCGAGTTCGGACAAAGATGGAGAGAGATATTCTGGTGGAAGTAAATCATCCATTTATTGTGAAGTTGCACTATGGTATGCAGCTGTTATTAATGGAATTAGATAATTATAAGTTCTTTCAGATACTGCTGTAACAAGAAATGAATACTTGAAAATGAATATATCCAACTACATAAAATATAGGTGAAATATATATCAACATCTAGCTTTGTTTGTGTTTCATTGTTTTAACCTAGTTAAGGTAAGATCATGTCTTCTGGGATCCCATCACGGGTTGGGGAGGAGGTCACAGGATCCCACCTCTAGCTTAGGTTGGCAATAAATGACTACTATGGGAGAGGGAGTCAGACTTATTTAGGGATGCCACCCCTGAAAGGCTACTGCTGCTTCCATAGATGGCTGTGGATCCATGCACATGCCGGCAGCACTCAGTGGAGTCAGTGAGTTTTTAAAAGAGCACATAAAAACCTCCAGGTTTTAGATGTTCTATTTTTCATTTTAAAAAATATTTATTTTGACTTTTATAGATATGTATGAAAGCAGTGTGTGTACCTGGGTGTGGTTGGAGGGCAGAAAAGGGTAGTTGGAGAGAGACATGGGTGCTGGGAACCCAACTCTTGGCTATTTGGTTGTGAATCTGGGCCTTTAATGGCTGCACCAGCTCTCTAGCCCTTATTTTTCATTTTTAAGCCTTTGAATATTACCTTATTTTTGTTTAATGACAGAACAAACTTCATACTTAGCCATTGGGTAGAAGATTCAATTTATAAAATATTAAAAGAGGAAAGAGTACATGAAAAAATGTTGATTCAAAAAAGATAGAAACAAAGAAAGAGAAAGAAAGGAAAGAAAGAAAAAGAAAGAAAAGGGTACACAAAGTTGTCAGAAAAAAGTGATGGGGAGATATGGGCGGTGTTGGGGGGGTGGGCATGGATTTGATCAAAACACCTTATATGCATGTATGAAATTCTAAATAAAGTTTTTTTAAAAGTTAAAAAAATATTAATGACTGATGGGAAAAGGGTATACCTAATGAGAAGTCTACTTAGCAATTTAATGGCAAAGGATAGAAAAAAGTATCCTGACAAATTTTAAGTCCTCTAAATGGTGATGTGATAGCCATACATAAACCTTTTTTAGCCATATGTGTCACTGCATTTAAAACGTGTTACATTACAACCTAAGTAAATGTCTAGTCATTTTGTTATAACTCCCATAATGAACAAACTGTACAATTTAAGTGTTTCATAAAATTAAAGTTTTCTTCATGTCAGATTTGTTTCTTTCAAAGATTGCCTTCCAAAATGACTGAGATTTTTTTAATGCTTTGTTCATATTTGTGTTTTATCATTAAAATTTACATTTATTGTTGGTGGGGTTTTTCATTGTTGGGTTGTGATTTTTTTTTAATTCGGATTTTGTTTTGTTTTTAATATAAGGTGATTATTCATATCATTTTACAGTGTTTCTTACTGAAATTTTATAATCATTTGTAAGATAACCCCCTCCCCCAAAGAGCATATGAAATTGGGTGGAAATACTGATTGGTGGAGGATAAGGGCCCAAGAGACTCTCAGACAGTAACACAGCATAGCACTGGGAAAATGTACAGCAGACCCCAATCTTATCTAAAGGAATGTTGGCAACAGTATAATATTTTTAAAAGGTAGTCTGATCAGCTTGATGAGTAGTATTTCTATGTGAGGCAGTGCCTCAAATAATAATGGGCTTCTGTGATAATTTATGTAAAACATTCAGATTTTTGTTCACAGTGTCTGTGTTATCTATATTTTCTGGTTCTAATCAAGAATACTGTGTGGTTATATTAGTCTGTTTGAACTATTTTTTAGTATTTGTGGAGGGGAAGTATATCAGTAAGAATCAACAGGAAAGCTGGGCATGCTTTTAATCCCAGCACCCAGGAAGCACAGGCAGGAGGATTGCTTGTGAGCTCCAGGCCAGCCTGGTCTACATAGCAATTTCTAGGCCAACTGAGGCTACAGGGAGACTCTCAAAAAACCAAATTTTTTTTTTTTTAAAAAAAAAAGAATCACCAGGAATAATGGGAGAAATATGACTTTTGGAGTCAGATATTTCCTTTCTTTCCTATTTTTTTTTTTGTCTTTTTGAGACAGGGTCTCCCTCTAGCCCGAGCTGGCCTGGAATTCACTATGTAGACCAGGCTGGCCTTGAATTCACGGAGATCTGCCTGCCTCTGCCTCCAGAGTGCTGGAATTAAAGGTGTGTGCCACCACTCCTGGCTGAGTCAGATATTTCTTAATTTGAATTATGCCTCCATTGCCAATATATGAAGAATTGGGGCTGGAGGGATGGCTCGACCATTAAGAGCACTGTCTGCTTTTGCGTAAGGACCAGGGTTTGGTTCCCAGCACCCACATGGTGGCTAACAACCACCTGCAACTCCAGTTCCAGGGGATCTGATGCCCTATTCTGACATCCGGGGGGCATGACAGAACATGCAGGCAATATATACATGCAGGTAGTACAACTCATACACATAAAATAAAAATAGTAAAATTTAAAAACATAAAAGATTATAGATAGACATTTACTCAGGAATAGATTGAAATGCACAAAATCCAATTAAAAATATATATTGAAGGAAAAAAAATTACTGATGTAGTTTACTGTGCAATTTTGTGCATTTAAAAAGTAATACACACTGGTTTTATTCTTAGTGCAATTTTGACAAAAATGCTTTTTAAATATTTACTCAATTTATTCAAATAATCCTATCAGAAATTCTGATTCGTTGTTTTTATTTCTTACTCTAGTGAAATAAAAGCAATAGTGTCTTACGACTTCTTTGAAGTCTCTACCATGCCATTAGATTAAGAGTAAACCCCTATTGTGGGCAAAATGCTGTAGTAAATGGAGTGAGCTGCAGAAGTGAAACAGTCTCTGATTTCCAGTCAAGTATAATCTATAGGGAATACAGATGTATAATGTAAATGAATTAATGTACAAATGAATGTGAAATAAAGACCAGAAAAGAGACATGATATCTCAAAAGTAGTTGGAGATAATTTTGACAGAGTGAGGCTAGAAGATGTTGTAAGGACAATGGGGAGAAGCTAGGAGGCTTGAAAGAGGCAACATTAGTTTTGAACTTTCTAGAGTGGAGTAGATAGGGTTGGGAGCAGAACAAGATACTCTGGTAATAGGATGATTTTGGAGGTAGAAGTTTGTATAAAGCTACATGTAAAGTTGGTGATGTTCTGGATGTAATTAATTGCTATTTTTAACACTGTATTAAATATTGGATTTAATTTTGATATATTGTCCAACAATGGGCCATAGTAATATATAACTGTTTTGTAATGTTTAATGATAAAATTCTGAATGTGTTAATTTAAAAGAATAATAAGACTTTTTAAAGCCTTTAAGATTGTTCTGCTGTAACATTATAATTTCTAATTAGCCTTTCAGACTGAAGGAAAGCTGTACTTAATACTGGATTTTCTCAGGGGAGGAGATGTCTTCACAAGATTATCCAAAGAGGTGAGTGTCTGCTTGTACGTTTTTAATGTATTTTGGTGAAACCAATCTAAAAAGTAATACAATTTTCCTATGAAATTTGAAATCATAATTTTTGCATCACTGCACAGTATTTAGTGATATGTTAGTTAGTGATATTTTCTGTGTGCGTCATTTAGATTATCTCAGTGTTCTCCTTACTTTTCTCTTGGACACAAGAACATTGTGAATAACTGGATGAAGTAGATGGGAGCAAGCCTAGGACTTTGGCTACTCAAGCTACCTTGTGACATAGTGTTTAATTTCCTCATTTAAAATTATCTTTATTGATGTCTAATTGACATATGGTAGATCATGCATCATAAATTATGCAAATTGTTAAAATTTTGACTTTTACATTACTGAAATCCTAATTAAAATAAAGATAACGAGCATGTACTTTGGTAATGTGTTCTTCCCGCCCTAACCGCACTGAATCTTCTATCTGCCACTGGGTTATGTCTTCCAGGATTTTATAGAAGTGAAATTGTAATATTTTTTTTGTCTCACTTAAATCATTATAATTATTTTGACTCATCCATGTCCTTGTGTGTATCAGTATTCCATTTTTATTACTACTAGTACCATTGTATGGATGCACCATGTTTTGTTTATTTACCTGTTGATGAATGTTTGAGTTGTTGCAGTTTTGGGACATTACCAATAAAGCTGCTATAAACATTCATGTATAAATGATTGTATTGACATATGTTTTCATTTCTCATGGATATATACCAAGGAGTTTAAAGACTGGGTCACATGGTGGGTGTATGTTTTAACTTTTAAAGACACTGCCAAACTGTTTTCTGAAGTGGTTATATAATTTTTACCTTCTGAACAGCAGCATATAAAGAGTTTCAGTTGTTTCACATCCTTGTCAACACTTGGTATGATAAGTCTTTTTTTTTTTTTTATAAACTTTAGACATCTGATAACTGTGTGCTGCTATCTAATTGTGATTCTGAATTTCATCTCATTAATGACAAATAATGTTGGGCATCTTTTCCTGCACTTATTTGCTATCTGTCTTCTTTGCTAAAATATTTAAACTTTGAATAGAATTGTTTGAGGTCTTATTGAGGTTTCAGAGTTTCTCATAGAGTTTAGATATGTCTTTGATCATATATGTTGTTTATAAATGTTTTCTTCTTGTTCAGAGTTTTTTTTAAATCTCTAAATTGTATCTTTTGAAGGCAGAATTTCTTAACTTTGATGAGATATAGTTTATAATTTTGACATTAATTAATGGTTTTTAATGTTCTAAATAAGAAATTTTTGCCTAATCCCAGGTGAAGATTTTTCTCCTGTATGCTCTAGAGAATTTTGTAGTTTATTTTTTAGCCTTTATATTTTAACCATTTTGTGTTCATTTTAGTATATGGTTATATAAGTATGTGCTGAAGTCTTTTTTATTCATAAGAATATGCATTTTTAGCATCACCATTGGGAAGGATTGTCCTTTCTTCAGTGAATCACCTTGTAATTTCATTGAAACTCAGTTTACCATATATGTGAAGGTCTATTTCTGGATAGTCTACTTGTCGATTTGTTTGTCTCTCTTTATGACAGCATTATTCTGTCTTGATAATACATCTTGAAGTCAGTGATTACAATCTGTGAGCTTTGCCTTTCTTCTGAAAATTGCTTAAGCTTTTGTAGGTCATTTATATTTCTTTATTAGTTCTAAAATCAACATTGCACTTTCTGAAAAGAACCTACTGTGATTTTGATTGAGTTGGCAGTGAACCTGTAGGTTAGTTTGCAGGTTATTGACATTTTAAAAATGTTAAACCTTTCTACAAAGGTCCTTTATCCTTCCATTTTGTTAGCAGTTGTTTAATTTCAATAATGATTGTATTCAGTATATAGGTCTTGCATATCTTTTGTCAAATTTATCATTTAATGGTTCTCATTTTTAGCGATAAGTATTGTTCTTTCAATTTCAAATCAGAGGAAAATAATAGAGTTTTCTTATTGAACTTCTACCTTTTAATATAGTAGGATTTGCAAATTCTGCCTGCTTTTTATGTGGGTTGCAAAGGCTTTTGAATGAGCTATTTTTGAGCAAGGTGTTTTAATTCTTTCCATTATGGATAGCATATTATTTCTTTGATTTCTGTCCTTGTTCTACTGACTTGAACTTTCAGTTTGATGCTGAATAAATTTGATGGGAGCAGACAATCTTTTCTTCTTTGTGATCCAAAGATACAGGGAAGTTTTGTTTCATTGCAAAATTTGAGGTTATATTTTTATGTTTTTTATTGTGTTGAGTTACCTTCTCTTACTACATTGTTGAGAGATATTTTAATGAATTTTAAGTATTGTCATATGCATTAACTAAAATATTTTTTCTATATGATTTCTGGGATTCTCACATTGTGAAATGCTAAGCCAATATTGTATTTGTGAATAAATCCCACTTGGGTGTGGTATATAATCACTACTGAATAGTGTTTGATGTTTGCTTTTATCAAGACCTTGCATTTATTCTCATAAGGAATATTTAATTTTATTTTTTTGTGTGTTTTCCTTTTATTTGTTTCTGGTGTCAAGAGTGATTTTGGCTTCCTAAGTTGGGCAAGATTTTTTATTCAACTTTCTCTTAGAATTCATGCATAGTCAGTATTAATTATCAATAATGATTGATAGACTTCATGTGCAAAGCCATGTGAGCTGGGTAAGGTGTCTAACCAAAAATTCAATTTATATAGTAGACCTAGAACTGTTATTTGTTTTTGAGTGAGCTGCATGCTGGCTTGAGTCTTTTAAGGAATTTATTAGTTTCATCAAAGTTTTGAAATCCATCGATATAAAGGTGTTCATTATATTCCCTTAGTGTATTTTCTTATAGCTATAGAATCCTTATTTATGTTACCATTCTCACTCCTGATGTTGGTAGTTTGTCTTCTCTTTGATCCTGCTTAGCTTTGCTACAGGTTTATCAATTTTTCATCTTAACATACAAGCTTTTGACTTCATTGATTTTTCCCCCCCTTGGTTATCTTTTGTGTTCTCATTCTATTGTCCTCTGCTTCAATTTTTATTCTTACTTTCTGGTTACTAAGTCTTTTCTTTGCCAGTTTTAAAGAGGGAAACATAGGTTGTTGACTTGAGGCTTTTTTTCTCATGTAGCAGTTTAATATTACAAGTTCTCTAAGTTCTGCTTTAATGTCATCCCACCTATCTGGGTATGTGGCCGCTTTGCTTCAAAATACTTTCCTAATATCCTTGATTTGAGTCATTGAGGTGTTAAATATATATTTGGTAATTTTCCAGGTACTTTCTAATATATATTTCTAACCTGAAATTCTGTTGTCATAATGGACACCTTGTATGACTGAATCCTCTTAAATTTATTTATACTTGCTGTGTTCTTCAGAATATATGTCATAAATGTTCCATGTGTATATGAGAAAAATCTGTAATCTGTTGTCAGCTGGTGGAAGGTACTATAAATGATAATACCAAATCATTGCTTTGTAAGTTGAAAAATTGGTACATAAAACTATACATGCTCATTTGTTTTTCAGAATGATTGAAATATTTTATAATTAAAGATTTGTATATTTCTTGAAGACTTAAAGATTTATATTGATGCTAGTATAGTCATTCTAGCTTTTGTAGTATTAGTATTACTCCGTATTTTAATTTTAAACCTGTTGTGCCTTGATACATTAATATGTGGCAATTGAGGAGGCATATATGATGTCCCTGAAAATATGTACTTTCTAATTGAGTTCTGAGACCTATTATATTTAATATGGATATTGATATGGTAATGTTAAAATCTATTATTTTTGGTTCTTTTTTCCCTTTTTCTTTTTTAGACAAGGTCTCACTGTCCGTCCCTGTCCACATGTAATTTGCTATGTAGACCAGGCTGGCCTTGAATGCACAGAGATTGCCTGCCTCTGCTTTTCAAGTGCTAGGAGTAAAGGTGTGCACGACAAATCCTGGCTTGGTTGCATTCTTAATTGTTTTTTGTGGCAGTTTCAATTTTTATTGCTACTGTTGGCTTGGCAGTATTAACTATAGCATTTTATTTATTTTATAGTTCCTTTAGGGTTTATAATTTTAATTTTAACTTGAGGTCAAAACCTATGATCTTCAGACAAATTCCTTTTCTTTATAATACAGTTTTACAGAGACAAAGCCATACACATTTACGTATTCTCTATGCTTTCTTTCATAACTCAATGGCAGCATACCTGAAAGGTTTTTTTTAAAGACATCATCTTACTATGTAGCCCAGATTGGATGTGTGCTCACAGTCCACTTGCCTCAGCATTCAAAAGGCTGGGATTACAGGTGTTCAGCACCACAAACAGTTAGGATTATTTTAATTAGATGGTAGACATTGTGAATCTAATTTTCTTTCATTCAAAAATGTTTTGTCATTTTGATCATTTAGGACCTTGCTTTAAGTGTGTTTAGTGCTGGTGAATGAAACCCAGGGCCTCTCATATTTTAAGGAACCACTCTACTGCTAAGCTGTGCACCCAGCTCTGAGTCTTGGATTTAAGCTTTCTCTTTTGGTTCTGAGGCAACATTTAATCTGTGTTTAATTTTTGGCACAATTGAAGCATAACCCTTCTTAATTACTGTAAGCAGCATGAACTTTCTTAATTATGATGCTTTTATTATTTCATTATTCAAAGCTATAGCTATATTCCATCTTTTTAAGCTTAGTGGGTTCTTTAATGCTTTATGACTGTCTATTCCCTCCTGAACTCAGGATTCCCTCTGATCCGTGATTGATGAATTTTTTTATTTGATGGCTGTCTGTGAAATTTAAGATACAGATTTAAGGTGATGGATATTTTTTGTGCTTCTGAAAGTATTATTGTTGTTTGCTTTAAAATGCAGAACTATGTTGCTCTTTTTATGCCTTCCTTTAAGTTTGGCAGGGAGACTTGTGCATCATTTAATCAAGGATTAATTTTGTTCTGTTATTGAAGTAAAATTATTCTGATTGTATGTGTACAGTGTTTTCTGCTTTAGCTGAGGGTAACAGGAACTATTCCTGAGTCTGTGTGAGTTCCATGGATTGCTTTCTGTCATTTTGGTTCTTCTCCTGGGTGGCTTTCCCCGGTTCAGCATAGTGTCCTCACCCACATGTTCTGGGTACTATATTCTTGATACTGCCTACATCTTCTTGAGGTCTTTCTGCAATTTTCTTTGCTTCCGTATTCTGTGAGTTCTATCTTTTTCTAATCTTCTTGGCTCCAATTTGCTAACTCAGAAAATCTCTGAGCTCCACTTGAGTTAGCTCTCCCTGTACTGCCACATAGAAAGTTTCCAGGTCATAAGCTAGGGCAGTTATAGGGCATACCACATTTGTTACTCATACCTCAGCATTCACTGTCTTTTGTTGCTAGGCGTCTAATGTCTTTGAGAAATACCATTTCATATTTTGTCCTGTCTTTTGGATGTTTGCAGCAGGGGAATAACTATATGTCCTTGTCTCCTTCATTTTGTCTTGAAATGGTAGTCTGGTAGTAGAGTTTGAATTGGGTGATAGTACTCCAACATCTCACTTCCAGAATTTCTGATGCTGAGTGAAGGAGAGGTACCATTGAGTCCCAGAACTGTGGAACTTGTGATAAAGGAACAATGTGCTTCTGGGGTGTTAGTCAGTGTTTTAAGTGGCTGAGGTCTCTGGCTTGTTATCTGTCTACATCCAGTGCAGAATGTGCCGTGCATGAGCATAGAATATGTTGTTCATATACTGTACAGTATAGAACAGAATTCAGTATGTAATAGGGTCTTGGACCCTCGTCCAAGGAAAGACTTTTTAAAAAAGTTGTTAAAAGCTGGTTCTAAGGCATAGAGGAACAATAGTATATCACGGCTTTAGCATTCTTTATTTCTTGTGTTAGAGTTTACAAGTGTCACGAATGTTTTTGAAAAATTCTTACCTGTAGTCATTTTTAATTTTCTTTTAAACTCTTCAGACCTCCATTCTCGATGTGGGACTATCTAAACTCATACTAGCACAGAGATGCAGTCAGTAAGTTTTGATTCCTAAGTCTGGAATATTAGGTAAGAGCAAGCATTTTAAATGCATTTCCCAAAAGACAATAAATTAGTTTATTCATTGAACAGACTTTAAAAAATTGATTCAGTGATTTATTCTATAGGAAGCATATTATAAGTAGATTGTTGGTTATACTTCACTTGTGTATAAAAAAGTTGACTAATCCAAACTGGAGAATTATTTGTGCCTTAGAAATAGACTTTTAAAATTACATTTTACTATGTATTAAGAAATTTTATAATGTGTAATTTATCTCTCCAAATACATGTGCGCATTTGCACATATACACTAGGATCCATATGTGAGTACATAAAACACTAAGCCATAGCTCTTTTTTTGCTAATTAAGCAATAGCTTTTTTGCTAATATTAAGAATGTATTGTGGATTTATTATTGTAAAGCAAACAGATTTTCTAAAATTCATTTATTAGTCCAATAAAATTCCTGACAAAGTCTCAATAGAAATTTGTGTGTTTAAAATTGGTAGCTTTGTTTTACACTTTATCCAAAAATACAAACAAATATAAAGTAAGAAAATTTGAAAAGTCAGAAGATAAATTTGAAGAGTGCAAAAATAACTTTGCTTTTTCTGATTTGTTAAAAACTTCCAAAAACAATTTATTATTTCATATTTAGTTAGTAAGAGACAGGGTCTATCTGTGTAGCCCAGGCTAGTCTTGAACATTGAGTTTTCCAACTTCAGCCTTCTAAGTGCTAGGATTAGAGACATGTACCACTGTACCTGGGCATAAAAAGTTTTATGAAGTTTCTATAAGCAAAACATCATAACTTTAACATAAGACGAGAAACATGCTGCATAACTCAAGAATCCTCTTATATGTGACCTACGTAAGATTATGACGAAAGGAGGAATCACATATGATAAATTGATTGATCAATAAACAGTATGTGAGAATTTGAGATTTTTTTAAAAGTTACTTAAAACAATTTCTACCACACACAATATAAATTTTACCTATATTACAGAACCATATCTTGAAAATAATTACTGTATCCTAAAAGTAGCTGAATATTTATTTGGCCATTGAATTGAACTTTGTTAAGCATTAATGAAAGGAAAATATAAACTGATAGTATATGAATTTAACTACATAAAAAATGAAAACTACTCAGCACCATAACCAGCACTTACTAGAAAAACATTTGTAGTTAATATTAAAAATAGCATTTTAATACTTAAAGGGCTTATATCAGTTGACCGAAACAGCATGTTTTTAGTGAAAAAAATGTCAGAAAATTTAGTGGTAATTCATGGAAAAATAGAAAGGCCACAGAACATGAAAATCTGTTTGGTATATGAATATATTTAAATTACATAAAATTTGATGCCTTTGAATATCAAATTAAAAGTTTCATTAAAAGGTAACTTGTTGCTTTCATAGATGAGGTAAAGGTAATACATTTAGTAACTGCTGATGGAAGTAGAAACTATGGTAGCCTTTTTGGAAAATAATTTTGCTGTATATATCAGGAATCCTAGATTATGCTCCTTGACCCACTATTTCCTGTTTTATTATTTAAGAGTCCATTCTGGGGAATTATAAAGATGTATGCATATTTTAGAATGTTTTATAATAAAGAAAATAGGAAATAACCTAATTATGCAGAAAGAACATTAAGGTAAATCATTGTAAATTTTTATGGTTGATATGCAATTATTTAAAAATGTTAATAAACGTGTTAGAAAGGCATGGTAGTATGCTTATAATATTAATTGGAATAAATGAAATTCATAATCAATAATCTGTATTATGATTTGAAGTACCTCAATACAACACATACATATATACATTAAGCAACAGGTTAAGAATGCTTTTCCTTGTGCTGGAGTTTTGGATGAGTTTTTCATTTTCGAGAGGATTTTATGAGGAGAACAATTAGCAAATATGAAAACACTATTGTTAATGAACCCAAAACTTGGGGGAAAAATGCAATGTAATGTGATAGATGTGGCTTCCAGGGAAAAGGTATTTCTTAGGGACAAATATTCTTGAGTTCAAATTTCATGCCTTCTCCTTACTAGCTGTGTAATTAGAGCAAGTTACTTAATCACTCTGATTCTCTTTGTCCATATATAACATGTTGATAACAGTTGTTTGTAGACTGTAATAACAAAAAGAAAATAAAGTGATGATACATAATTAATTGAGTCTTGTGCATAATTGGTCTTTAGTAAATTTCTTATTTCCATCATGAGGCTTTCTACCAAGATAACTTCAAGATAAGATGATAGATTTGGCATAATGTGTAACCTAGGCAGTGCTTCTTTCTTCAGAATTATAAACAGTATTTAGAGTTTTCTCATGTGTCAGGTATCAGGGAGAATTCCATTGTTCTTCCACAGAAGTTAAATGAGTAACAGGTTCTTTTAATCTTAAGAAGAAAGTGAAGATGGTGTTCTTATTTTTTTACCATTAGCATATTTGAAGTAATGCCCCTGAAACTTAATGACTAATTTTTTTTTGTATTGATAATTTCTAAAAGTAAATGAAGATGAAACAATTCCTTTAACAGTTCATTGTCTGCAATTTTATGAGTACCCCATATCTGCATTGTGAAACACAGTAGGCAAGTTGGTTGTAAGACTGTGATATTTTATTCAAATTTTGAGCCTTCTTAATAACTCTGAGTTCTTTAATGAAAATAACCCATTTCTAGAAAAATCTGTTTTGGGCAATGTGAAACCCTTGATCAAAATGACATGTAATGCCCGAATAGTTGCTAATCTGTGCATATAAATTCAATATTCAACTACGAACGAATATAGATAAAAACCTGCACCAATAACATCTTATGATTGTGCATGTAGTTCTGTAGAAACAAATTTGATTTTCAGAACGACCTGTTAAGTTAGATATAGCAGATGTATTTATCTTACAGATTTAAAAGCTGCTATTTCTGGTTTCAAATCTAGTATGCTTTTCATTTTGTCATAGCATGTTTATTTTTCAGTGCATAAATTTTGAGAAATTCAGAACAGTTAAACTCATAAACTTCACTAGTAGAAGAGACTGAAGGGATCCCTTTTAGGTCAGATATGATTCTAGAATTGTAACACAAAGATAGTTAATTTCACAACTTGTAGTGGTAGCTTAGAAGCTTTAGGTTAGTAGATTAAACATGTGAAATTACTGAGAAGTGATAGTAGGCAGTGAAAGGGAGACTAGAGAATAGTGGGTGTTAAAGCAGCATGTGCTGTGTACTTTAGTTTCCCTCAGCACATCCACTATGCCAGAGCAGAGGACTAAAATTCATATCATATTATGAGTTGTCATCAGTAAAACCACAAATCCTTTCAAGTGTTCGTAGTGTAAGGGGACATACAAACAGCCTCATATGTTTTAGAAAGATTTGTAGTGAATGTCTAATATTTTAAAGAGAAGGATGTTTTAAAGAAGCGAATACCATCTATGTAGAAAATCTTCTCTGGAATAAATAAAATCTATGCCAATCAATGAAAACATTAACTATGTTTATTTTCTTAATTATTTGTCCAGATTTGTCTAACGATTTTTAAAGTAAATTTTAAAAATACATAATATTAAAAGAAAGATCAAGTGGTGAATTATTATTGTTTTTTAGGTTCTCTTTACAGAGGAAGATGTGAAATTCTACCTTGCAGAATTGGCCCTTGCTTTGGATCATCTGCATCGATTAGGCATTGTGTATAGGGATCTGAAGCCAGAAAAGTAAAGTTACATTTTCATTATGTATCTATCCTGCTGTATATATTTATTTTTTAAATATGTCAATTGCATTTATTTATAATGTTTGTATGTGTGGGTGTGACCGTGCCATGGCATATATGTGGAAGCCACAGGGCAATTTGCAAGAGTTGGTTCTCTCTTTTCGCTGTTTGTGTCCCAGGATGGAACTTAGGTCATCAGGCTTGATGGCAAATGTCTTTACAGAGTTATCTTCATACCACTCTCCCTTTTTCTAAAGTTTTATAGTTCTTGAACTAACGTATGTTTTAGCATATTTCATTAAGCTTTTTTAAAGATTATATGAAATTCTACATGAATAATACATTTACACAAAATTGCTTATAAAAATGAAAATTTTCTAATAAATCAAATAGTGACATTTAAAACTTATGATTTTCATGTCTGTTATTCCATCATATCAAATGTAAATTTTGATTTACAGCATCCTGCTTGATGAAATAGGACATATCAAGTTAACAGGTATGTACATTTTCCTGTACACTAATAAGCCCATTATTTCATATTCTTCATCATGCTGATACATATTTTTCCAAGCTTGCTATCTGTTTTTCTCCTTCATTTGATTGGCATTTTGTGTCTTTATCAAGGTTCATTTAAAGGTGGTATAGTTTTAGTGTACTCCGATTATAAAATCATATAATAGAAGCTCTGTCTTAATTAAAATTATATTAGTTTAGGTAAAAATACTAGATATTAGTTTTAGTCTACACTGAAAGATTTATCATAGGTATTTACTACATTTAAAATATAGTAAGTCTTCTTCGAACTATCCCCAACTTTGAAACCAATTTTCCATTCTGTCTCTCTATAGTTTTGTTACATTGAGAGTGTTATATAACTCAGAACCATAAAATTTCCCACTTATAAGTATTTTTTCTTAGAGAAATAAAAAGTTATGTTCAAGCCAGGCGTGGTGGCACATGCCTTTAATCCCAGCACTTGGGAGGCAGAGGCAGGCGGATCTCTGTGCGTTCAAGGCCAGCCTGGTCTACATAGTGAGTTCCAGGACACCTGGGGCTACAGGGAGACCCTGTCTCAAAAAGACCAAAAAAAAAAAAAAGAGTTATGTTCAAAAACCACTGTCAATAATCGGTTCTTACAGTCTGCTTGCAGTAGTCCAAGACTGAAAGTGATCTTAATTTATTATATTTTAAAAGGTGAATGAATAAACAAGCTGTGATAGCACCATGTGATTAGTTACTAATAAGCAACTAAGGTATTGAACAATTGGTTCTTCCAATAATTTAGGAAGCTGATAAGGGTATTATATTGAATGGCTTAATCTCAAAAAATTACATATGTTTTCAGAAGATAGCAAATTCTTCATTTTGTTATAAAAAAAGCTGCAATCAGGGGACTAGAGAGATGTCTCAGCAGGTAAGAGCACTGGCTGCTCTTGTAGACGAAGAGACTCAGTTCCTAGTACCCACATGATGCCTAATAACTGTCTCTAACTCCAGTTCCAGGGGATTTGACTCCCTCTTCTAACATTGCAGGCATTGCACAACACGGGTGCAACATGCAGGCAAAATATTCATGCACATAAAATTGAGATAAATATATAAAAAACAAGAAAGTTACAACCAAGAAAACAAATGTGTGTTTTGTACACAGAACTCACACACACACACACACACACACACACACACACACACACACACACACACACACAAACACACGGCAGGGGAAGAATGAGAACATATTCATTTAAATTTAATTAGGATATAATTCCTCTTTTCATTAATAAACTGTAAATTCGAATTCTCCTTTTAATAATCATTTGGAAATTTAAACAGCCTGAGGTGGGAAGAGTAATTAGGAGAAATGTTATTATATAAACAAAGGACACAAAGTTGTACCAGGAAGAAAATGTGCTTTCTAATTCTTTCACAGTGCAGTCTAATTTCCTTAAAATAGCTGCATCATTTCTTTTAAAGAGAGTATACAATAATAGCCATTAGATAATTTACAGTTTTATGTAATCTAAACTTCTGTGATGAATACTAAACTTTCAAATTGAATCTCACATAGTTCAAGGAGTTTTGTTAAAATATTGTCTTCTTTTCGTTGAAGTATTTCTTTTCCTTTTTCTTCCTTTTTCATCCTTTGCTTTCTTTTTTCTTTCCAACCTTCTCTTTCTTACCTGTTGTGTTTTTCTCCTTTCCAATCTCTCCCTTTCTTTTTAAAGACTGTAGTCATAAGAAGCAGACTCTTGTTGTTTATCATTGCTAGCAGTGGAATGTGTATGCTGCAGTGATTTACGAATGTCTAATTTAGACAGGACATTATCCAGAACTCTGTGGGTTCACAGAGCAATCTGAGGATGTCAGTGGTACCTTTCTTTAAATCACCTGTTGACATTAATTGTCACGCAGAAGTGAACCTAATGTTTAGCAGGCTACTCCGAAATAGCAATGGCATATGACCATAGCAAGATTCTTGTTAAATGTTTCTGAATCTTTTGTCCCTTTTCTTCTAATTCATTTCTTAAATTCATTAATTAAAGGATATATCACCATGTAGCCCAAGGTGATCTCTAATGCATGATCTTCCTATTTTATCCTTCTAATGTGGGGACTAGACGCACGTGCCAGCATACCTGGTTCTTCTTTGAGTCTTTTTATCCCAATTGAGATTATGATTGTGTAGCAAAAGATCCCTTGTGTCAGAGTAGATGCTTCTTAATACTTCAAATTTCTCTTACTTATTGTAAATACTCATGATCTGAATGTGTTGAAAACATTTTAAAATTTAAAGTCTGAGAAAAAGGAGTCATTGAAAGGTTCACCAGTGTAAAATGCTGCCTCTCTCAGCCTGTCCCCCAAACTCTTTACTATATATAGCAGATTTTTATGTTTTATTTCATTTTTAAATTTCTGCTTTTGAAACACCACATAGTTTTAGAATTGTATTTTTATCAGTTGATTGCTGAACACACTTTGATGTGTGTCAGGAATCATTTTACAAAGGAACTTTCTAGATCAAAATAAATCTCTGAAAGGTACCAGAAGAATAATTTTTTTTCTTTTTCCCTATTTTCACTGGATGGCCAAGGAAGCCTGTGTTCTTCTACGTAGGGTGTATTCAGCTGAACTGTCTTCCTAGGCTTCCTCTTACTATGTTTGATTTTCTTAATGGAATATGCAGAGTTTAATTGTCTTAAATAGAGAGAATGGGTATAATATATTAAGATTGGAAATTATACTTAAAGTTATAACACAAGGTTATTATAAACAACATTTTCTAAATGTAAATGAAAATATTGAACATGGGTTGGAAATCAGTTTTGCGATGCCCTAAATTTGCTAATGTTGGTGTTTTATTGAACAACAGTAATTTGTAGATAGCTTATATATTTTTGGGAAATTGAGTATAATTTATGTAGTAAAGCCCATAATTCTCATCCTTATGATGAAATTACCTGCTTTTTCTTTTCTTTTTTTAGAGGAAGTAATTTTAATGTTTTGTAGCATACACTCATACATTTCAAAACAACCTCAAAAGAATTTGAAGATACCCAGCACATGGCAATGATATTTGAGATGAAAATGCTAATTACCATAATTTAATCATTACATACCATATATTTGTATCAAATACTAAAATTGTACCCCATAAATAAGTGTAAATATTGTATGTCAACTAAATTAAAAAAATATTTTCTTTATTATTTTTATTTTATGTGTATGAGTGTATTGCCTTCACGTATGTGAGTGCACCGGTGTTGTGCAATGCCTGAGGAGGACAGAAGAGGCTGTCAGATCCCCTGGAATGGAGTTATGGACAGTTGTTAGCTGCCATGTGGGTGCTGGGATTCAAACCTGGGTCTTGTCAACTAAATTTTTAAATAAATGAGACTTTAAAAATACACTACGACAGGGCTGGAGTGATGGCTCAGCGGTTATGTATACTGGTTGTTCTTGCAGAAGACCCGGGTTCGAATCCCAGCACCCACATAGCAGCTAACAACCATCCGTAACTGCAGTCCCAGGGGATCCAACAGCCTCTTCTGTCCTCTGCGGGCATTGCACGACATGGGTGCACTTACCTGCATGCAGGCAATACATGCATACACATAAAATAAGAATAATAAAATTTAAAAAATACAATGTGATTAAAATACGTGGAGGAACTTTAAACTATTATTGCCAAAATAAAAAGGTTCCTCACTGTGAATTTCAGCATGGTGCACTGGGGAGGCAGAACTTCTGGGAATGGTAAACAGAATAGTGTTGACCCAGTAATGAGGGAAACGGGCAGGGAGGGATGAATAGGTAGAACACAGAGGATTTCCTACAGTAATGAAACTACGCTGTATAATACAACTGTGGTAGATACTTGGTATTCTCTATCTATATTGTGTCAATGTCAAAAATACCTTGATGAAATACAGTCCAGCGGTAATGTCTATAAGAAAGGGAAGAAAAACTGAGTAGAATCACAAATTTAACTCAACTGTACTTGAATGCTTCTGCCAAAATAAAGACGAAATAATTGTAAGTGCCCCAATTCTGCCATTATGTTAGTCCTCCTTAAACCTCAAACTACCACCAACCTGTTTTCCATACTTACCGTTTTGTCTTTTATACTATGTAATATAAACATGTACATACACTATATATAGCCTTTTAAGTCTAGCTTTGTTTTAGCGTACTGCACTGGAAAATTCATCCATATTGTTACATGTATCACTGTTTTGTTTCCTGTAAAATTGTTTATTTCTACTTTATGTTGATCATTGGTATTTTTTTAATGTTTCCAATTAAGGAACATTGGGTTGTTTCTTATTTTCTATTATGGTGAATAAACTCATAATAAACACTCATGAACATGTTTTTATGTGAATATAAATTTTCATTTCCAATGTCTAAGTACATGATATCTTGGCCCTTTGTAAGTATGTGCTTAACCTTCACATTCTTTTTCAAAGTGGTTATACGTTTTGACTACCTACCAGCAGTAGTGTGTAATAGTTGAACCTGTTCTGTGTTTTTTACAAGTTCCTGGCCTTGTCCCCATGTTTTATTTTAGTTGTTCTAATATGCATGTATCTTGTCCTGTTTTTCTTTTGTTAATTAGTGGTACTTAGCATTGTTTTTCATGTATCTATATCTTTTTAGAAGTGTTTGTTCAGATATTTGACCATTTGTGAAAACTTAATTGTTTTCTAAGTTTTTAGGTATTTTTTGTACATTCAAAATAGAATTATATTACTAGACATGGGATTTAAAAGTATTTGTCTAATCTTGTTTTTCATCTTATCAATATATCTTTTAAGTATGAGTTTTTTTTTAAATTTCAATATCATTCAGTGCATATAGCTTTTTTTTTCCTTTTCTGTGGTTTATGCTTTTGATGTTATGCCCAAGAAATCCTTGTCTAACAGAATCAGATTTTTTTCCCGTTTTCTTTTGTAAATATTATAGTGTAAATTTTTGCGTGTAGTTCTGGGCTTCATTTTCAGTTACTGTTTGCTTATGCTTTTATGATGAGGTTTTAAAAATATTTATTCCCAACTTTTTTCTGGCACTATTTGTTAAAATACCTGTCCATCCTTGGTAGAATTACTTTGTGCTTTCAACAGAAATCCATTGATAATGTGAAGACACCTTTGCTATTATATGATCCATGATGTTAGTCACTGCGTTCTTCAAAATCACATAAGTAAAAAGGACTGATGGAGAAAGCAGTTACCATGAAAGTAAATGTAAAAAGTACTGTTTTACGTGTCATAAATAGCTAAATATGTAATGACCGCAGTAAATATGGTACCTTACCTTGAAGACTGATTTGTATATTGATACTGTTCGCTCTTTGAAGGTATTCAACACAAATGCCAGCTTTCCAAAGCATATTTTGCTTTTGTAGTATTATAACATTATAGTTGCTGCATCTGTTTATATTCTAATACTTTGGATAATACAGCAGAGACCTGGTAACGTGTATTTTTGAGGAAGGAATTTAAATGAGTAATCTTTGGATGGTTTTAAAGAGATTCATGATGAAATATAATCTCATTTCTATTATTGATTTCAATGTAACTTCCTTAAGAGTAAATTTAGGGACAGCATAAATTATTTGAATATTTGATTCCTTATTTAGTCTTTTCGTATTTTCTGAAGTTTTCAGCCTCTTTTTGGTAAAATTTACAGATTTTGGACTCAGCAAGGAGTCAGTAGATCAAGAAAAGAAGGCCTACTCCTTTTGTGGTACAGTGGAATATATGGCTCCGGAAGTGGTTAATAGGAGAGGCCATTCACAGAGTGCTGATTGGTGGTCCTACGGCGTACTTATGGTAAGGATTATTATTTTTCTTAATTATGTCAACATATGATTAATACTTTTTGGAATTTTGTTTAAGTTTTTCCTTGGGTCAGCTAAGAAAGAATTTCTTCTGATAATTCCTAACTAACATTTAAAATCTTGTGATTGGCTAGCTGTTATACAATAAGGATTAGAGTTTTAATTTTTTATAGTTAATTAAATGTCATGATTGATTCTAAGCTATTCATATCTGAAATTTAGAGTGTCTAGCTGATTGTAGGTTTTACCATGCTGACTTCAACAGCATGGTAAAATCTACATGGTTCAGTTGTTTCACCCATGTCCTAGAAGTAGAGTATCTTGATGAGAGCAGTTGTGTTACAATATTTTTCCTTTTACTCAATAACTAGCATAGTGATCTTTTAATAAATTCCTAATAAATATAGATAATGAAGAGCTATTGAGTCACTATACTTGTCTTCTGAAATCAGGTAATTCATTTAGCCCATTCATCTATGAATGATACATTATGTATCCGTATATTATCTGTTAATAGCAGGCATTTGGGGAGGGAGGTCAGATAGGAACAGATTAAAATGCAGTATTTGTACATGTTTCCTGGCCTAAGAATTCATAAAATCTGGCTGGAGAAGCTACTAGAATATCTAAGGAAAGCATACACAAATACCTCAGGAGTTCGGAGAAGACTTCATAAAAATTGATATAAGTGGAGGAGGTAGAAATTAAGTTTAAGCTCTGAAGACTAGATAAAATGTAACTGGTTGCATGACAGGAAATTGATAATATTAGCAAGGGCTTGAGGAACCAGTTTTACTAGAGAAGTGAAAAATAAGGGTGGAAGTGGAGGAAATGAAGCTATAGATCTATTAACTGTAGAATGCATTTTTTAATATTTTAAATTACCATAGTCTTACACAGAATGGTAGAGAAAAATTGCATTTTAGAAATATTAGCCTTGGCTACACTATGTAAATAATTGAAAATGGAAAAAATCTAGAAACAGAAAGACAAAAATATTTCAAGATTGTTGTAAGTTAGCACTTAAGAGGAAATCATGAATGAATTTCAAAGAATTTGTGACTAACCTTAATAGGTTAGCTAAAATGGAGAGGCAGGGTCAAAGATAAAAGTACCTCTAAAATATATGAACTTAGGGGTATGAAAGAACAAAACTCCTTATATACATATATGAAATTTTCAATAGTTTTTTCAAAAGTTTAAAAAAAGAATAGATATTAATAAAAATAGAAATAACTAATGACAGCTGGTAGACATACCTCATGACATCTGGTAGGGAAACAATTTGTTAGCATGTAGCACTGGTTAACCCCGAGTAGTGGTAAACTAAGTGGGGCAGTGGAGTGAAAACTCAAATCATTTGAAGACTTTACAAAAAGACTAAACAACACACACATACACAACAGAGAGCGAGACAGAGAGAGATGTAAGCTGTAGTTTGAGAGGAGTTGAGTCCTAGATACTGTCATTCCCTTTTTTTGTCTGTCTGCCATGATAAACTATGACTGTAGATGACAGAGGGAAAACTAGAGCTTGAGAGAGGAGGTTGGAGTGGCAGATTTGGTGTTATTAGGGTACAGGAGACAGTGGAATGCATGAGTCAACTTAAATTGTTAGTTCAGATAACTATAGAGAGGACTGATGCCAAAGCCATTAGTCAGTCTTAAGTTAGAAATATAATTGTTTTGTCTATGTGTGAACGTGTTCATATGTATATGCATCGTGCATAAACATGTATAATTGTGTGTGTGTTTGTGTGTGTGTGTGTGTGTGTGTGTGTGTGTGTGTGTTTAGGCCAGCAGTTGATGTTGAGTGTCTTCTTCAGTTGAGTGCCTTCTAATTTTTTGACACAGGGTCTCTCACTGAACCTGGGGCTCACTGAATTAGCTTGACTGGCTGGCCAGCAAGTTTGAGAGGTTTATTCTCTCCCCACGATGCAGAGCTTAAAAGAAACATGGCACACCCAGCTTTTATGTGGATACTGGGGATCCAAACTCAGGTCCTCATACTTCCATGGCAAGCAATTTGCCTACTAAGGCATCTCCCTTAACCCCATGTAAAGTTTTTAATGAGCTAGTAAAATATTTAGTTTAGAATTGTCTATTCTCTCTTTTTTCCCCAGTAATGACAAATGCAGTACTACCCAAGCTATATTCTCTGGCTTAGACCTAGGCTTTTTAAAATATTTTATTTATTATTTTTATTTATGTGTATGCGTGTATTGCCTGCATGTAGGTAAGTGTACCGGTGTTGTGCAATGCCTGTGGAAGACAGAAGAGGCTGTCGGATCCCCTGGGAGTGGAGTTACAGACAGTTGTTAGTTGCCATGTGGCTGCTGGGATTCGAACCAGTGTCTTCTACAAGAACAACCAGTGTTCTTAACCACTGAGTCATCTCTCCAGCCCCTTAGACCTAGGCCTTTAAAATATTTTATTTATTATTTTTATTTTATGTGTATGCATGTATTGCCTGTATGTAGGTAAGTGCACCCATGTCATGCAGTGCCCACAGAGGACAGAAAAGGCTGCCAGATCCCAAGGAACTGGAGTTATGGACATTTGTTAGCTGTCATGTGGGTGCTAGGATTCGAGCCCGAGTGTTCTGCAAGAACAACCAGTGTTATTAACCACTTAGCCATCTCTCCAGCCTCAGACCTAGGCTTTTAGAAACAGTAGCATACATTATTTTAGGTTTTAGTTCTCAGTTAAGTGTCTCTGTTAAAAAGTTTTCTTTATTTTATGTGCAAATGTATAGTATTTTTCTTTTTTAAATGTATTATTGAATGTGTGTGTGTGTGTGTGTGTGTGTGTGTGTGTGCGTGCGCGCACGTGTGCCTGTGAGATCTCCTTTTCCTAATTCATTTTTTTTGTGATATTGGATATTGACCCCAGGGTCTGGTAATATGCTAATAAGTGCTCTCCCCTTGAGCTATGTCCCAAACCTTTTAAAAAAATTATTTTGAAGTAAGGTTTTACTAATGTATCCAGGCTGGGCTGGAACTGACTGTGTATCTGAGGCAGGCTGTGAACATGTATACCTTTTGCCTCACCTTCCAGAATAACTGGGATTACAGGAAAGAATCACCACACCTGGACTTACCTGTCATTTGGATTCCTCTATTTTTAGTTTCATTCTTATTTTTATGTTTAGTTTTGGAGAAATTTGGCGAGTTAGAATGGTGAACTTTTTAAAATCTTGCTGTGGATATATCCCAAAGGCTTTGGTGTATATTTTATTTTCCCATTATTGTTACTTGCTTTAAACTTACACCTTTGTTTCTAAAGCAAGTGACTTGTTTATATTTTCAGATTACTTTTACTCTGGGAAATTAACCATGTTGGAACTAAGATAAATTGGTTGCTTTCATATGCTACACAGGCAGTGTGTTATCAAACTTATTCTTTAAGTGACCTAATTACTGGTCTTGTTTGGACCCACTGTTATGTAAACCCTGTATAATTTGATAATCATGTTGCATAAATCTCATTTTCTAACAAATTTCATTGCACATTCTAAGTTGTACTAAATTGATGGTATGGTTATTTGTCTTATTTTTTCTAGTTTGAAATGCTTACTGGTACTTTGCCATTTCAAGGTAAAGACAGAAATGAGACCATGAATATGATTCTAAAGTAAGTATAAACAGGGTTGTTTTATTTCAGAGGAAAAAAATCTATTCCCTCTAATTTTGAGAAACTATGTGATTTTCAGGAAAGACTAAAAATCATTTTGTACTGTCTTCTACTCTTCTGTCATATGGAGAATATTATTTGCCATTCAAAAGCACGTTTTAAAATATACTTTAAGCTTTATTGACTTCTCAGTATTTATATTTATGTGAGATTTTCTAAAATCTTTTTCAGAGCAAAACTTGGAATGCCTCAGTTTCTTAGTGCTGAAGCCCAAAGTCTTTTAAGGATGTTATTCAAAAGGAATCCAGCAAATAGATTGGGTATTGTTTATTTTCTTACCTTTTATAACCATGTGTGGCATATATTGGCAGAGTTATTATGCCTTTATATTTTCTAGTTAAAGTTCATTTACTGTTGTATATATTTGTGCTTTGAATTGTGAATTTTGAATTTTGTATATTCATTCTAAATATTCTAAATATAGTAAATTTTATGATCATAATTAAAACATGGAATAGTTCAGTTAGTAAAAACTTTTAAAATATAGTATGTATATCATATGGTTTGTCTTTTGAAATAGTTAGCATTTTACCTTGTATAGATAAAAGCTTTTAAATATCTGTGGATAATTATTTTGCCCCTCCAAATGTCTGCAATGTAAGCATTACTTCAGAGTTACTCTGCATAATTTTACCAATTAACTTTTCCTAGATCCATATGTAATCCTATTATCTTATTTATGTCCTTGTGTTCAAATTTCAGTGCCAATTTTCCTTTTTATTTTTAATTTGGCATATAAATAATGAGGTCATGAGGTGAATTATAAAAAAAATTGCTTGATGTTATATTAAACATGATTTTTTTGACTTGGGAGTGTATTTAGTATTTCAGACTACCTTAAACAGTTCAATATGAAGACGACATTTTTAAATTAATACTAGATAAGGGATCAGTTAAGACAGTGTCAGCAAGAAATAATAGACATACTCAGGCCAAAGAATATAGGAAAAGTGCTTAGTCCAATGCATGGATAATTACCAGAAGCCAAGTAGCAAGGTTAAAAAAAAAGTCCCGTAAAAACTATTTCTATTTTTATAGGGTCAGAAGGAGTTGAAGAAATCAAAAAACATCTCTTTTTTGCAAATATTGACTGGAATGTAAGTTTAATATGGTTGTTTTTTTTAATATGTTGTATTTTATGTATCAAATGTTTATTAATATAATAATTTTAAACTTAAATGTTGGTGCGTAGCATACATTTATTTACTAAAAAGATCTACTAACAAAGAATTTTAGTATCAATGGTATTTTATCGACATTACTGATAAACATAGTCCATTTATTTTAAGTCTGACATTTTTATTTATAGGTATTGCATATCATGAACAGTACCTTGAAGCAATATGTGTATATGTAGTATGTGTAATATGTAGTACTTTTTCCTTCTCATTTATTTTAACTGTTGAGTGTGTTTAATATTATACCTCCATGTATGGATAATATTGAGTAATTTTATGTTTCATTTGTTCTTATTGTGAAATACGGTTTACTTACACATTAGATGAGGAGAGGAAGAGAAAGGGAAAGTGGATCTTTGTAGATAATGAATAATAAAGTATCTCAGGTGTTATATAATTTCAGATTGTTATTTGCCATGTATGAGAAAAATTAAATGTAAAAGAAAAAAATCTAGTTCCTTAAAATTTGAGAGAATATGAAATAGAAGCACTGAGAAATTCTGCGAAATAATAAATTGTTCTTTGAAGAACTCACTTTACTGTTTTCTTGAGATGCAGAAATAAATTATGTATTTGAAATTTCTCTGCTTTTCAAATATGGGCCTTGATTGGTATAAACGTTCTTTTTCAGTACTACTTTCATTATGTCCCATAGGTTTTAGTTTATTGTATTTTCTTCATCGGTTTGAAGTTTTCAGGTTTCTTTTTAAATTTTTTTCCCCTTGGTCCCTTGGTTGTTCAAATGTAAGAAGTTTGATTCCTTTGTATTTGTATATTTTCCAATATTTATCTTGTGATTGATTTCCAGTTTATTGAAGTATGTTCAAAAAAGATATCTGATCTGATTTCAGTGTTTTCAAATTTAATTGTGACTTGTTTCATGGCCAGTCATACAGTTTATCCTGGAGAGTGTTGAAAAGACTGATGAGAAGCTCTTAGTTGGAATTTTCTGTCCATATATTTGGTCAGTTTGGTATAGGATACATTTTTTTTTGTCTTTTTGAGACAGGGTCTCCCTGTAGCCCCAGCTGTCCTGGAACTCACTATGTAGACCAGGCTGGCCTTGAACTCACAGAGATCAGCCTGCCTCTGCCTCCCAAGTGCTGGGATTAAAGGCGTGTGCCACCATGCCCAGCAATACATTTTAACCCTATTGTATCTGTTGATTTTCTGTGTGGCATACCTGTTGATTGTTTGGATTTGGGTAGTAAAGTTCCTAACATCAGGCACTATGATGACTAGCCTGACCTCTTTAGCTCTTTTGAAACTAGTTTGGTACATGTGTAGCTATTCACCAGGTGTGTATATGGAGAGAATTTAGAACATTTAGCTGCTACCTTGCTCTACCCTCTTGTGTTTTTGTTTGTTTGTTTGTTTGTTTGTTTGTTTGGGTTTTGGTATTATGTTTTTGAGACAGAGTCTCAGGATGTAACTGTGGATGGCCTGGTGGAGCTTGCTATGTAGTCTAGGGTGACCTTGATCTCATAAAGATCTCCTGCCTCTGTCATGTACCATCATGCTCTACTTCACTTGTGCTTTTTAAACATACAAATTTTAGCAAATTATCCAACTTAAGAGCATATTTAATGTATTTTATAAGGAAACAATATTTTAGATGAAATATTAATTTTGAACATAGTCTGATTGTTGAGTTTTTATTTCAGTATGGTTACATTGTAATACACTTTGTATGGTTATAATTTCTTGGTGGATCTTCTTTTTTTCTATCCAAAAGTGAACATTGTATTCCTTTAGAGTGTAAGCTATGATATCACTATACCACTATAATGATCATTGACGGTGTTAGATTTTGGATATCATGTCTCAAGTATTTTAGAGCTTATTTTACAGTTATTGCAAATTTGTGGAAATATTTCAAGACTTCTGATATAGATTCTGACTGCCATACAATGCTTACTCTTACTTAGTACACGTTGAGTATTCCAGAAATGTTTAGCGTTTCAGATATTTTATGAATTTGGGAATATTTGTATATTCATGTGTATATATACACATATATGTGGAGAGAGACAGAGGTGTGTGTGTGTGTGTGTGTGTGTGTGTGTGTGTGTGTGTGTGTTGGGGAGGTCATTCCAGTTCTGTGTCTTATGAACCCGGGCAGAACTTTGCAGTGGACACCAAGTACAAATATGTATTTGTTTCATATAGACAACTTATTCATACAGTCTGGAGATAATTTCATATAAATTTTTAAGTGTGCCTGTGTTTTGGCTCTGATTTATCCGCTTATGCTTGTCATGTTGATACTTAGAAACTTTTATATGCTAGAGCATTTGGATTTTAGGTGTCGGATTAGGGATGCCAGACATATATAGTGTTCAATGTTTTTGCATTATTTTATTACTTCTAGAAATTATACAAAAGAGAGGTTCAACCTCCTTTTAGACCTGCTTCTGGAAAACCAGATGATACTTTCTGTTTTGATCCTGAATTTACTGCAAAAACCCCTAAAGGTAATACTTTTCTGTTAAAAAGCCTTTTCTTCTAGTAATGATTAAATAAATCATTTTTCAGTAAAATTGAAAGAATGTTAAGTTTTCCCTTTCTGGAAGTATCAGTCTTTAACTAAGAAATATTTATCACAGAAGTTTGGAGCAGGGCAAAAGATGGGAAGTTTTCCAGTTGTTGTTATATTAAGCCTTTGGCAGGCTAATAATTCACAGGCCAGGTGGGATGAAGTATGACACCGGATATACATGACTCTTGTAGTTTAGAATTTAATGCAGTTTACTTTAGTGGCATCAGTTTCATTTATTCATTTAATGAATACTGGATCCCTGCTATGGACTGAGCAGTGAGGATGCAGCAGTTAGCAAACAAAAGTTCCTGACCACATAAAACATGCGAAACGTGAACAGAAAATATATTGTAAACCCTGTATATAATGTGTTAGACTGTGACATTTAATGGTTTCATTTGCATTAAAAATGGCTGATGTTTTTTTTACTCAAGAAATTCTGTATAATTCTAATAAATATATAACTTTAAATATTAGATTCTCCTGGTTTGCCAGCCAGCGCAAATGCTCATCAGCTTTTCAAAGGATTCAGCTTTGTTGCAACTTCTATTGCAGAAGAATATAAAATCACTCCTGTTACAAGTGCAAATGCATTACCAATCATTCAGGTAAATTCTGCATTAGCACAGTGTTCAGTCTGCTGATAATTACTTCACTCTGTTATTGATAGTGGATGTTCAATAGTTTTTAAAAGGTGATCATCTGGGGACACTAATTTGACTCACTAGACATTACCATAAATGACAGAGTGCATGAAATTCAGTTGGGGGCCTATGGGAGGGTGCCGGTGGGGAAGGGGGTATAAAGATGGTTAAGATTGATTGACAGGTTCTGTATGAAATACACAAAAATTCAATAATGTTTTTTTAAAAAAATTACAAAAAGTAATTGTTAATGATTTCATTTATTACTCAGTGTAACTGAGTGAAAGGTATTGCTGTATGTTTTGGAATAAAGCAGACAGTGATTATCTTTAATTATATTTCTAATCTGTTTTGGCAAGAAATGTTAGAGTTTTTAATATACTTTTTAATTTATTACATTGGTATTGGCCTTTAGAAATTCTACAATTTAGAGTTGTTTCAGAATTTATATAGGTGGTTTGTAAATATTAGTAAAATTTCTAGAATGATTTTCTTTTTTGGTCTTTTTGAGACAGGGTCTCCCTGTAGCTCCAGGTACCTGGAACTCACTCTGTAGACCAGGTTGACCTTGAACTAACAGAGGATCCGCCTCCCTCTGCCTCCCAAGTGCTGGGATTAAAGGCGTGCGCCACCATGCCTGGCTTTTAGAATGATTTTTAAAAAAAATTTTTTTCTTAAGATTTAAGATGTGTGTTTTAGGATAAAAGAGAGAAAATGTGTAATTACTTCCTTTTCACAATGTTTAATTTTTTGTGAAAAAACACAGATCAATGGGAACGCTGCTCAATTTAGTGAAGTTTATGAATTGAAGGAGGATATTGGCGTTGGCTCCTATTCTGTGTGTAAGAGGTGCATACATTCAGTTACCAACATGGAATTTGCAGTGAAGGTATTGTCCTCAGCCTAGTTTGTTTGTTTGATGTATGTAATTTGTATTAAAGATTGATTGACAAATATTTTCACTTGAACAGTCAAAGATAGAGAAGACGGTGATTAAAAATAAATTTACAGTTAGATATTTTTATTTTAAAATTATTTGTAAGACTTATTTTGGAGAAACAGCATATTTCATTATTTTTTTGATTGATTTTCTTTTAATGTAGTGTGTTAAAATTGATCAGTTGTGAAAATTAGTCACATTTGGATCATGTTATATTTGAGTGTAGTCTCATTGAAAACTCAGAGTTGTTATAGTTCAGTGTTTTCTGTCAAATTTCCATTTTAGGAAAAATTTTAATGTTAAAATATTTGGAGAGGTGCTGGAGAGATGGCTCAGCAGTTAAGAACACTGACTATTCTTGCAGAAGACCTGGGTTCGAATCCCAGCGCCCACATGGCAGCTAACAACTATCCGTAACTCCAGTTCCAGGGAATTCAACAGCCTCTTCTGACTTCCGCGGGCATTGCACAACATGGGTGCATTTACCTACATGCAGGCATAACACTCATACACATGAAATAAAAATAATAAATAAAATATTTTAAAATATTGGAGAAGGATACAGTTTAAGTGTTTGTTTATATTATAACCTAATCGAAGTTGGGCATGGTGGAACATGCATATACTTCCAGTACTTAGGAGGGTTGAAACAGGAGGATTATCACGTATTCATGACCAGCCTGGGTTATATATGAGTTCCAGTGCAGCCTGGTCCACAAAAGCAAGATCCTGTCTCAAGAGAACAGCAATAAAAAAAAAATCATTTGTGTTTGTTTGTGTGTGTGTGTGTGTGTGTGTGTGTGTAAATCATTTGACTTTCTTTGAGAAATTTCTCTGGTCTGTTTCCTAGATCATTGACAAAAATAAGCGAGACCCCTCAGAAGAAATTGAAATTTTGATGCGTTATGGACAGCACCCCAACATTATCACTTTAAAGGATGTAGGTATTTTAGAATCTAATTATCAAACAAATGAATGAAGTTATGACCTAGAATATTATATATGTAATATTTTTAATACTGTAGAGATAAATCTCAAGATCCCTAAACTTGGTGCTGTACTTACCGTCTGTGATTCTATGTATGTGCTCTTCTTACAGATTTTGGTAAAGGGCTGTGATTGTTGATAAGAGTTCCCTAATAGCCTACATACATTCCAAGTGGCTAACTAGCTAATGTTGTGACTAGAATGTTGCAAATAGTTCTATAAAACTATTAATGTCAAAGAAACTGATTGTGAAAGATTTTATTTCCTTGATTATAGAGTAATTGGCTATAGAATTATGGATCATTCCCTGAGTGAAATAGTACTAGTCTACAGTTTTGCAAAATGTACAGGTAGCCCCTGTATTAATGTGTGTCATTGAATGGTAACTTTTCACACAAGAAAATGGGTTCATTTTATGACAGAATGCAGAAATATCAGGCATCACCCTGACCAATTTGTTTCTTTTAAATATGATAATTTATGATAATTAAACAGCTTATATATTGTGTATATATATATGAATGTATGTATATCTAACATCACATATTAAGTATAAATATTTTTATTTTATACACTGTTTGAATTCAACACACATTTCAATACTATGCCAAATAATTAACTGATTTTGTTTGCTATCACAAAAAAGGTTACTGTTGAAGAAGTAGCTATATTATATTGAAAATGGCTTATAAGTCACTTGTGAGTTGTAGAATTGTACCCTTTTTTCATATGGTTTAGTGAACGGTAATGTACAACTTCATAACTCTGTATTATAAGTTTAATGTGGTCTACTAGAACTGATCAGGAGATTATGTAGGCAATTCATCCTTCTGTACACCCTGTACCACATTCAGAGGAAAGAAATGATATATCTGTTTAATATTAGCAAATAAAAGTAAATATAAATTCAACAGTTTAGAACAATAATTGTAAATAACACCTTAAAATACATTTATTTTTTAGGTCTTTGATGATGGGAAATATGTTTACCTTGTTACGGATTTGATGAAAGGAGGGGAGCTACTGGACCGTATTCTCAAAAAGAAATGTTTCTCAGAACAGGAAGCTAGTGATGTACTGTACGTAATAACTAAGACAGTTGACTATCTTCATTGTCAAGGAGTAAGTTATTCTACTTTCTTCCCTTCAATTATGGAACCTATGTTGTGTTTCTTTTATATTTTATAAATTATATACTAATAAAACTCATAATGTTACGGTGAAGTTTATGGGAAGTGGTTTATAAAAAAGAAATGCACTCGTGGAGGTGCACACCTTTAATCCCAGCACTCGGGAGGCAGAGGCAGGTGGATCTCTGTGAGTTTGAGGCAAGCCTGGTCTCCATAGTGAATCCAGGACAGCTGAGGCTACAGGGATACCCTGTCTCAAAAAGACCAAAAAAAAAAAAAGAAAGAAAGAAATACACACACACGCACAAACACATAACCTTGCCATTGAAATTATTGAGCCTACTCAAACTTTAAAGTGAAGACATGAAAGAATCATCCAAGTCAGGCATGGTGGCTCAAAGTTTGAGGCCAGCCTGATCTACATGGTGGGTTCCAGGACAGCCTGCACTACAAAAACTATTGTCTCAGAAAACTAAAAAGAAACAATCACAGACATAATACAAATTAAAATTATACTATACTTCTTAATATTATAGTAGCAAAAAGTCTTATATATATTGACCTTTGCCAACCTACCCTAAATATGATAATAAATTTGGATTCTGAACACTTGAAATATTAATATATTAAATTTTGTAAAAGAGCAGACTTAATTTTTTTGTCTTTCATAAGGAAGGTGGATGAATTGAAACATAAGAAGTCAACTTTTTTATGTTCTATTATATACAGTAAAAAACAAACCAATAATTTAAAATTTAAAGCTGGAATCGTGTGTAATTAAACATAAAAATATGTTCTATCTATAAAGAAAGAAAGTGACAACTTAGAGTTGTTACAGTAGAGATTATAAGCCTCTCTTTAAGCATAATGTAGTCCATTGATTGTCTTTCTGACAATCTATAAAGGCTGACTAGATTTTTTTTTAGTTTGTCATGATAAACTTCTATTTATTTGTAAATCTCCAGTTTTTATTTTGAGCATTTCTCCTTGTCAGGCATCGAGCATGGCACATTTAAATATTGAGTAAAATGTTGCCCTTGTCCTTAAAGAGCATTCAGTGTTGTGTATTAGAAATTAAACGTAAAGCTAGATCAAATGGATAGTAGATGCAGGAATATCACTGAATAAAGAATTTCAGAATTTTTTCCAGTTTTGCATTTCATTTGGTTCTTTTTCATTGTTTGTATTTTTCTGATGAGACTTCAGTATTTCTGTTGAGAGTTTCATGCATTATAAGCCTTTTTTCTTTTATTTCATTGAGGATATTTATAACAACCACAATCCTGTAAATTTTAACTTGGTTCTTCTCAGAATCAGAACTGAATGATTTTCTTTTTTCCTTGAGACTGTGTTATACTTTTCTTGTTTATGTAAAGTAGATTAGATTGTTTTGGATTGTATCCTATTATGATACAAAGTTCTGGAGATATTTATAGGCTGTTATTCTCAAGTGGTTATTGTTTCCTTTGTTTAAGTGAGTAATTTTCTTGACTGGGCTTGAAGTGAAGTTTCTTGGTTTGGGGGTCGTAGTTTTGATTTCTTCATATAAATGGCTTTGGTAATGTTCTACACATCTTTATTTCATGGTCAGTTCTAGTTCTTTGTAATAGTACCTTACTTAGTATTTGTGGTTTTCCAGCATCTTTTTCCTGCTCCTCTGAGCTAGAAAAACTGTTTTGTTCCCTTACATGAATCTATACCACCATTGTGATTAATATGGGCTGCTCTTTAAATTCAAGGTAAAAACCATAGACGTGGGCACCTGCTCACATGACTCGGCTGCTTCCTCTTTCAACCAAATGTTTATTCTTCACCAGAGTCCTTACTTTTCTAAATTCTCTTGCACTTGCAGGTACTGGATTTTTTTTCTATTATATCCAGATTTTATAGTTGTGCCTGTCGAGGGCTAGATGAGAAATTATTCTATTATATCCAAAAGTGGAATCAAGAATTCGGACAGGTTATGCTTAAAAAACTGATGGCTTGAGTAGAAACTGAAGCATCTACCTGGCAGTTTTCTCTTTATTCTTGGCACCAATAGTTGGAAAAAAATGAGGTGTTTTTTTTTTTCCTGTAAGTATATTAAGTATTTTATTTCACAGGTATTTAGGTATACTAATTTAATGAGTTTTTCTTTTATTTTCAAGGTTGTTCATCGTGATCTTAAACCTAGTAATATTTTATACATGGATGAATCTGCCAATGCACAGTCAATTAAGATTTGTGATTTTGGATTTGCAAAGCAACTTCGAGGAGAAAATGGACTTCTGTTAACGCCTTGCTACACTGCAAACTTTGTTGCACCTGAGGTATTCTTTAAAAACTTGAATATTTGCCTTTTATCGTTTTCTTTTATTAAATCTATATGATATCATGTATATTATTGAAGATAGGTGAAAGCTGAGTTATCTTGTTTTTTTCTCAACTATAAAGCTCTTTATATTATTGAATGCTGATAATTCATCATGTAAATATTCAGATTCTAACAAGCATCTAATACCATCATATATCTTACGGTCAGACTGTTTTATTCTGTCAGCTTATATATTAGTTTCAGAATCATGCCACTTTTTGTTTGTACCCAGGGTCTCACTATATATCCTGGTCTTTTTCTGATGATAGCCAGGACAGAAAGCATTCCTCCTGTCCCAGTCTACATTACATGCAGGCAATACAGTCATACCCATAAAATTAGACAAAATGAATTTACGAAACAGAGAAATATACTAAAATAATTTGAATGTGAATTTCTGTCTCATACATTTATTTTATATTTATATCATATATTGATGATTTTAGGCAGGTACTACATTTACTATCAGTAAATCTATATTTTGAATTAGCCATTAGAAAAAAATTTTCCTGTAATGAAAATAAAAATATAGAAAATTAGCTTTCTATTTATGAACAATTCTCATTTTAAATTTTCCTAAATTTTGTTTTAAGATATTATTGCTGGAGAATAGATAATAATGTTTGCTTTTGTATACTCTTTATTATGAGATTTGCTGTATAAGAAATTAAGCATTGATTCAGATTGATTTAATCTGTATTTTAATTAAATTCATAGAATAATGACTATAATTTTTTACCACATAACACTGCATATAAACTATGTTTTTTAAATGAAAATGGAGACATATGATTCATCAAAGGACTATTGGGCTGCTTTTGGGTGCATAAGATAATTCCTTGGACATAGATTTAAAAAAATATTAGCTTTTCCAAATGCTTATTTTTAATAATAGGAGAACAGAATGTTTGAAATAAAGGGATATTCTTTAAATATAAGATGCATGGTCTTCATGAATATTCTCTCAACTGTAAGATACAAGGTCTTCATAGTCATTCTAACAGATTTATATAGTAGATAAAATAGTAAAATTAGCAATTAGTTATTTTAATGGCCAAATCTTAATATTGGCTTTATTTTGTGGCCCTGCACTACTTAATACTGTGGAAACTTAGTAGAAAAAGTTTGCATGTCTGTCATGCAAAAGAAAACCAAAGAAGCTGACATTAACGTGAAAAATATAGTGTCTCTGTGTTTAGATTACTGCTTAGGTAAACGTTTTAAGATTAATGGTTGGGTAATCATTTTAAATGGAGTACATATACAGTAGAGTACAATGATGCTTTTTATCCTAACAGACTTTCATTGTAGTAAGACACTTTCATCACTGTAATACTCAAGTTCCTCAGGTTTGCATGTGGAGAACATTTCCTCATAGCTAGTTCTGAAAATACCTTTAGATAGCACTTGAGTGTTTCAAATGCTTTGAAAAGTTTTATCAAGTGCTGAAGACTCTGCCAGCAGTCAGTATTTTGAAGTTATTATGAGCGAACCACTTTGGGCTTTTCAAAAATTTCAGATTCTGTCAAAAGACAGTAAGGCACTTTATACATACAATATAGCCTTTTAAAAAGTGGAATAAAAAAAGTGGAATCATAAACATTCAAGTATCCATGCAGGTATTTTAATAAATTATAGAACTTATAGGGGTATACTTTTAATATTTTCTCATAGCATGTAAAGAATCCCGATTTTCTAAGAAAGTGCTGATTTTTAGAGTTGTAATGTAACAGTAAAGAGGGAACAGTCATTCATTTTTGAATATGCATCATTTCCATCAACTTCTTAATGTTTACTTCGTAAAAGTAAAAATATTTCTTTATACATATCTCACCAAAGTTAAAAATACCCTCAAGCTATTTTACCCTTTTATAAAGACAAATACATTAGCATTATATTATCTGACTGATATTAAATGTCTACAGAGGCCTAGGAATGTTCTTGAATTAATGTAGTTTTCAAAATAGTTGAAGAATTGATAATGTGGTATTGAAATTACCTTGCTTTCTTCTGGCTCTATGCGGTCATATTTTGTGCCAAATAAATTAATTTAAACATTAATACAAAGGGAATGGTGATGTCTCCGTATTACTTTTTGCTGACTTGCTCTCTTCTCTGTGTTTATCTTGAGCCAAGTGAACAGATATGAAATACAGCCACAATACTGTTCTCATTCATTAGCTTCACCACCTTATCTTGTTTTCTTTATGGCCCTTTATTGTCATTATTGTGGAGCATTAATACTAATTACAGAACAAAAATTATTGCCTCTTTTATACCCATACAAACCCATGTAAGTATGTAGATAATCTAAAATGAAATTTATATGGTTGGCCCTAATCCAGCAGCAATACCACCTGCCCAACTCTGCTGTTGTCATAACTTAGGAAAGTTACAGAAATTGGAGGAATTTTTTTGAGACAAATGTTCACTATGTTGTGTATCTAACCTTGAGCTTCTTGATTCCAGTGTCCTCCTTCCTCAGCCTCCCAAGTAGCTGGGACTACAGGTACAAGGTTGTGCAAGAACGAAATACGTATAGCTCATTTTCTGGTTAATCCTCACTCATTTATCCAGCCTTTCAGCAGTGGCCCACAAATGTAGTATGCATGGATTATCAGGGAAAATTTTCAAAACTTTATAGGGCAACCTGGGAAAACATGGGATGCCCAGAACTTTAAAGAGGCAATGAGAAATGGGAAAGACATACAGGAATCAAAATGGTGATTTATAGCTATACTTTGCTCTTTATTGGAGTCTTTTCAGTCCTTATATCACTTATATAAGGCAGCTGTGTATCAGGTTTTAAATCCTCCATAGTCTCTCTGTTTTGCATGTTTTCTTTTCATGTTTAAGAAAGTATCTCATGTAGCCAATGCTAGCCTTAAAATTGATATGAGCAAAGGGTGGCCTTGAATTCCTGATCCTCCTGCCTCTACCTGAGTACTGAGGTTACAAACATGCACCACTATGCCTGTGTGTTCTTACAAATACATTTGAGTAGGAAATAAACCATTTTATTTCAAATTTTAAGTTAGTTGCATACTCGTTATTCATGTCTGACAATTGTCCAAGCCAACCTTGATTTCTTTTAGGCTTTTTTAGATGAAAAGTCCATGCTGGTGGTTATACATTCTTTAGCCAGGCATGGTGGTGCATGCTTTTAATCCCAGCACCCCGGAGGCAGAGGCAGGTGGATCTTTGTGATTTCAAGGCTAACCTGGTCTACATAGTGAGTTCCAGGTCAGCTGAGGCTACCAGGAGACCCTATCTCAAAAAGACTTAAAAAAAAAAAAAAAAGAACGTTCCTATTTCTTTCCTGTGCCTCAAAGTTTTAGCAGTGTGTTTAATTTTTAAAATGAAAACAAATGGCCTATTTTTTCTTTTTAAAACTTAAAATTACATTTTTAAATTTTGTGTATACACATGCATGTGTCTGCTCTGAGGGATGCATCCTTGCCATGGCATGTGTGTAGAGGTCAGAGGAGTTGGTTCTCTCTTTTCACCCTGTAGACCCCAGTCAGGTCATTAGACCTAGTGGCATGCACCTTTACATACTGAGCGATCATCCCAGCCCCTTATCTCTTCATTCTTCTAGCAAAGACTGTTATAGCTTCATTGAGAAATCTTCTCTGAATATATAATAAAGATACTATTTGATTTTTTTTATTAACACTGGTCCCCAAAGCAAAGTATTGTATAATAATTACTGAAGCTATTCGGGGTTTATCAAAGATTTTTTTACAGTACAGAAATAACTGTACTTTTGAAGATACCATCCTTGTATCTAAAACTATAAATTTGTAATCTTAACTTCTCCTACTAATCTTTTTTGAAGTTTTTTATTGTAATTTTATTCCCAAATTACAGACATAATAATTGGAGTTCATAGCTATATAATGATTAGTCCTTATATAATAATTTGTACACTAATAGCCAGATGTGGTGATGTCTGTAATCCCAGCACCTGGGAAGTTGGAGCAGGACGATTGCCACAAGTTCAGGGCTGACTATGTAACGAGTTCAAGTGCATCATGGGCTAAAGAGTCTCATAAAGCAGAAGCAGTTATCATAGATATTGAAAGCACTGACTTTTACAAAGAATGACTGCTCTGTGGTACTGACTACCTTTGATGTTGGGAAAATTATGTAAAATTTGCATCAGTTTCATCTTCCAAATTGGAGTAATAGTATCTACCTCATGGAATCAATATCGGAATTAAAAGCCCTAGTACTGCTTTGGTTATACTAAACTCTCTGCATATTAATCTTATGGGAATCCTTTGCAAAGAGGAAGAGTGAAAGCTCATCGAGATCAGGTTTTATGTCTTACACAGTTTGTTTTTTTGTTTTTTTTTTTGGTGTAGTTAGTATTACTTAGTTTGCAGTATTACCAGTTTATTCAGTACTTGCTCACTGCAGATTTTTGTTCTAAAGGCATAGAATGATTTTTTTTGTATTGTGAATATTTATGGGATTATTAGTGTCATGATGAGAAAATTGATGTTATGCTGAATAATATTTCACAGAATGAATACTTCTTTCTTAGGTTCTTATGCAGCAGGGATATGATGCTGCTTGTGATATTTGGAGCTTAGGAGTCCTTTTTTATACTATGCTGGCTGGGTAAGATACGTACTTTTTACATCTTCTTATTTCAAATTCACTTGTATATCTCCAGCTAGAAAGAGTACAGAATAGCCTTAAGAAAAGATCCCATTAATAGTTCAAGGTATACAAGTTTTACATATAAAATTAAAAAGATACAGAAATACTATACTTTTTAATGGGATTTTTCAATTTTAAAGCAATTGTTTGGTTGAAGAGGATCTTGTTCAGTGAACTTGTTAATACTAACTTTTTTTAAAAAAGCAGTTGAATTCTGACTCACATGGCAGTAGAGATATTACAAGGTTATACTTTATAATAAATATAAACATGGAAATAAACAGTATTGAACTACAGAAGCATACATACTCCTCTCTTTAATAGGATAAAGTCAAAGCAGATCTAATGACAATTAAACTATGTTAATGTTTGTAATTCATAATGAATGAAAATTATATTTTCCCCTTAATAATGAATAGTACTTTTCATTAAAAATGAACATTTATGGATATACAAATTATTCTGTTACTATGTGTAATACATAGGTATTGCTTTCTGAAAATTAAATTTAACTGTTATATAAGAACATAAAAAGATGTTAATAGCATAAAATGATGTAAAATTATTGTCTGTGTAATTACATATGTCAGCATTTTAAGTTTTATGAATTCTTGTAGAATAAGTTACAAAGTTAGGGTGACTGTCGAAGCTAAACCATATCAAATACATCAATTGTATAGTCATATCAGATATAATCCGTATTCTAGGATTCATACCATGGGATATGATTTTTTGCTTTCTGCTTTCAAATATTTGCTTTCTAATTAAACAAGATGTGATACTATGGGAAGATGTTTGATGTTATCTAAACCTAATTTTTAATGAGGGAATTTAAGCATTAAAACATTGAGATACCTTCCTCATACTTTTAGCCAGACATCAGACTTCCAATACACGAGTTTGAATACGAGTGTCAGGTATGTCGAATAAAATCATACAAAAATGATCACTTTTGTCAAATTAATTTTTAAATCCTCTTTAAATCTATGCATTTATTTTCCATTCATGAATAATATGATCTACCTAATTCAGTGACTGAAATTTAAGAATCCATTTTCATAGATTCTGATTCAAAATATTAACTTCTTTCCACTCTTAATATTGATTAAAAATGAAATGTTAATGAGTAAACTCAATCAATAAAACACATATAAATATGTAAAAAATAACGTTTCCTCATAGTAATTATATTTCTCTTGTTAACTTATGTCTGGGAATAAGAAATTTGTTTTTTTTATTGTGATCTCATAATAATACAGGTTTTACATGAAAAGTACCATTATTTTACAATGATATTGTTGATCAAAGAAAACAAAATATTTTACTATGTAATTAATTAGAACTAAATTAGTTGTTTAAAATACATAATTTTATAAGGGGAAATATTAGGTAATGGTGTTCTTTACCTTTCATTTATATTTATATATATTTATCATTTCAATTAAATATAATGTACCTTTGCTCTCATGTCTATTAATATCTACATTATCAATAGGTACACTCCGTTTTCCAATGGCCCCAATGATACTCCTGAAGAAATACTCCTGCGTATTGGCAATGGAAAGTTCTCTCTGAGTGGTGGAAACTGGGACAATATTTCAGATGGAGCAAAGGTATAAATCATAAATATGTTCAGTTTTATTGCATTCGTGTTTCCTTATTAAGTCATCATTTATAGCATGTATGGGTGATATGTCTTACATTGTCAGATCGGAATAGTTTATGATTTTTTTGTTTTAATTATGTGTGTATCTGTATGTGGGTATGTACAAATGAGTGCAGTTGCCCACAAAAACTGGTCTCTAACTTGTTGCAATTCTCCTGCCTCAGCCTACTGTGTGGTGAGAATACAGGGACATTACACTTTATCTGTACTTACCTCTTATCCTTACTTTCACTGTTTTGGGTAGTGATAGATTCACAAATGATTTGTTTCTCTATTAAAAAATGCTTATTATCAAGAGTTTACTTATTTTTTAAAAAGATGGTAATGAGAGTTTACTCAGCATTGCATACATAATGTTTTATGTTTTATTATGAAATTATATTGTATCCACTACTTTTTGGGGGGAGTCTTTTTGAGACAGGGTCTTCCTGTAGCCCCAGCTGGCCTGGAACTCACTATGTAGACCAGGCTGGCCTTGAACTCACAGAGATCCACCTGCCTCTGTCTCCCAAGTGCTGTGACTACAGGTGTGCACCACTACGCCTGGCTAATGTAACAGAAATCAGATATTCGTAGTTGACTTGATGGAAACTTATGATGCTCAGACCATTATCCTAACAGCTAGTTGGTGAGATCAAGTTTCCATTTCACTGTTTTCAGTATCTTTTGCAGAAAACCTCTAGTTAAGGGGTGGATTTAGTTCACTGCCGCCTCTCTTTTGTGTTAGTCTGTATGTACAAACCATTACACATTGAGGTCCAGCTTTCTAGCAACTTTCAATAGTTCTTTTCTTCCCCTTTTAACACATTCCAGGGTAACTCCCATCACCTTAAGATTTTTCCCCCTCTTTCATTCCTAACCAAATTCCAGTCCTAGAGATTTGGCATTCTCTGATTTAGAAATAAAACTTTACCATATTGAAAAAGCTGTTTCAAGATCTTCTTTTGACAGCTGTGCAGAGTACAGATACTATTTTTGTTTTTTAAAATTTTTGATTGGCGGGCTAACTCTCCTGGCCCACTCTCCCTCCCTCAGGCCTCTCTGGGGGTAAGTCTACCATGCAGCCCTCCACGCCTTGACTCCGCCACCCGCGCTCACCCTTCCATCTCCCCCGCTGTTCTCTACTCCTAGCTTGGGCCCTGTGCCATTCCTAGTCTTGGGGCCCCAGACACCTGGGGAACCAATACTGCTTCCTGACCCTTCTCACCCAGAGAAACTCAGTCC